GAGAATGCATCTTGAATGAACTGAATATTAAACATGAAGCTCCAAGACAACAAATGCAAAAAAAATATATATATATTTAATAATTGTACAGTTTCTTTCATAATGCTGGTACTCTAGTGTGCAACACCTAACTTAGCTATTCACATATTTACAGAGCTTGTCACATACACACAAACCTGAATATTTGAAGAAACAATAGAGATGTGCTTTATTACATTAAACTTGATCCAGTCTGAAGTCCAGGGGTTTCAAAAAGTCCGGCAGTGAGTCCAGCTGTTCTTTGGGAATGGACTGGCTGAGCTTCTGCATGGCCTGAACGAACAGTGAAGGAGGTGATGATTCTGAGAGCAACTGGAAGGCCTGCTCTCCTATAAGACCCCTCCACACATCGGCATTGTCCTGCAGCTGTCTCTTCATCTGGAAGCGAAATGTGGGCATGAATAAAATGAGGTAGCCGAGGCAGACGCGCTTCGTCCGCATTTCGAAGTCACTCTGGCAAATCTGTCCGAGTAAACAGTCCAGGGGGGTGTTCCCTGTCAGGTCCTTTGCGTAAGGACAGGCCCCGTGACCCAGCAAAAGAATCAAGCACTCGGGACGCACCAGATCACACGCGAGATGCAGCGCGGTCTTGCTGCCGTCCGTGTGGACGCATCCGTGACGGTTCAGGTAGCTCCGTCTCTCGCAGTCTGTGAAGTCTTTAATGGTGTCCATGATCATTTTCAGGATGTTGATGCGGTTGTAGCGGACGGCTATGGCCAGGTGCGGTGTGGTGGATGCCTGGCAGCAGCAGAAACTTCTGCTGGGCATCTCCAGCGCGCGGGCGGAGAACCTGTTGAGTAAATAGCGCGCGTACTGCTGGTGATCGTGTACCAGTGCGTACAGAAACGCCTCCGACGGGGAGAACGCGCATGCCTGTCCGTCCTCTTCCCAATGAAATACCTCCATTGTCCGCATGTCTTCCAGGACCCACACCGGCAACAGGTCCCGTACAGCTTGATAAAATGCAAATGAGGTTTTTTGGCATTGTTTCGGGGATTTATAATCCGCGCGACTCTCGTACATCCCCAGTTTCAAAGGCATTGCGAGTTCCGCCGTTATATTAAACGTTTTAGGGGGGGCTATTTGGAGTTTTTCGTGGTGTTCAATGCAGCCACATCTGTCAGGATATAGATGTAACCCAGGAGACCATGCGGAATAATAATCAATAAGGTGGTAGTCTCGTACGACTGAATCCTAAACCGTCCACCCACCTTCAAACCCCACTACAAACTCAGCCGAGAGTTTATATACTGTATGCTGGGCACTGGGACAGCCGTGTTGCTTTGCGCATATCGCTGCGCTCTTTACCATTGGATGCTGGCGCACGTCACGAGGGTGCAAAGTGCCTCCAACCTTTCCTTATTAGTATAGGACGCATCCATTAACACATGTGTGCGTATGTTTGGGCGATATCGAGTGACCCCGCGCATTCAGTACATTCACCGCGACTCTTGTTGCATAATATCCCACACGACGAGCCATGCGCTCTTTCACGAGGTGATCTACAGTACCCGATCTGTTTACCATACCAGTCTGAAAAAAGTTTAGCCTATTATTTATGGTGGTAAACGATCAAGTGTCGTCGCTTAAATTTCCTCGGGGTTATATTAATGATAGCCTAGACGCTATCTTTTCCCGTTTTTTTTTCTTTTGGAAGAAGTCAAGGGCAAAAGTAGCCTATGTTAAAGTCAAAATTAATAAAACTGGGCGATAATAATTTAGAAATCCAGACGCGATGGGAATGTCTGAAACAACAATGGAGCCTAATCAAACAAAGTGTGACTGAGATGTTTGTTGAGGAGCATGCGCGCCATCTAGCGGATATGATTGTTTTTTTGTTTGTTTCTTCCGAAAAAAATAGATACGTACGTTTATCACTAAATTCATTACTTACACATTCTCTACTCTTTGGTTATTTTAATGATTATTGTTAGTAGTATAAGTTTAAAAAAGTTTCTGCTTACGGATACAAAAAAGATCTCTTGTAAAATAAGGTAAATAGGCTACTTTAATTATATGATCAGGGTATATCAATATGAGATTATGAAGGGCTGGATTTATCAATTTTATGCATTCTCATGTATCCTCGTATTGCTTTCAATGAGGAGATATATATATATATATATATATATATATATATATATATATATATATATATATATATATATATATATAATAGGCTATAATAATAAGACCGTGTTTCAGATGTTATCTGCTGTAAAAAGCTTTAAGCTCCTAGATCACTTAGCGTATAATTTTCCACAGCTCATGTTGTCTGTAGTTTTTTTGTCTACTGAAATTCCTTGGAAAGATATTTTGCAGTTTTTCATCAGCAGAACAATCCAAAAACACATAAATTATAGTAAACACTGAAGCCTATCCCTCACAGCCTCACTTTCATTCCTGTTAAAAGTCTCAAGGTTCCATATTTTGTGACAGAAGTGATGTTTTAACATGTTAAATGTCGAAATGTATTAACATGTTATGACAGAATACGCACAATTAAATTCAATGGAATTCAATGTTACCCGGTGGCTATAGACCGTTTCACAAGATGTAAACAACACTGGTCCAGAAGCACTTCCTGTTTCAGTTGTTTAACACTACATAAAAGCTGGGATAAAATACAACCAACAGAACATTTAAAACTGAATCAAAAAGTTAAACAAACATCTTTAAGATGTTTTCTTTACATGTGAAATAAAGAAAACAGTTACAAACTGAAACAGGAAGTGCTTCTGGACCAGTGTTGTTTACATCTTGTGAAATGGTCTATTTTTGGTATTACGCCTAAAAAAAATCTCATGGGAACTTCAATTTTTGTGAAATAAACTTCAAATTTGGAACACAACTTGGTTAGATATACTGTATGGCTTTAACTTTCTGTCATTTTTAGGCTGAAACCTATACTAATTATATATATTTTTTAATAAAAGAAAAATATATATTTTATTCCATTTCATAACAATAAACCTAAACTTCTAAACTTGAATTCTATTCATTTATTCCACTTGGCAATAATCTGCCAAGTGTTTATGTTTATGTTTATTATTTTGATCCCCATTAGCTGCTACATTAAGCAGCAGCTATTCTTCCTGGGGTCACAACATTTTAACAAAAACTTAACATCAAAGCTGTACAACAATAAAGATACAGAAGTGCACACAACATCATAAATCATCAAACTCACACACACACACACACACACACACACACTAAACATAACATCAGATTACAAGCTCTTAAATATGCAAAATATTACCACTCTCTGGGTACAACACAAAATATGAAAATCACATTTCAATTATTATAGCTTATTGTCCAGTCATTATTAATTATAAAAATTACAATTACTCCAAAGTAAATAAATACAGTCTCAATCTTTTGGAAAAACTAACATTGTGACTCTCTGAGACCAAAAATAATGGGTGTCTTCTTTTAAAAGAGACCAACCATAATTCTTTAGTCCAAAGGGTTCATGAATTACAACCGTTACAACAGTTTGGGTAGTGTATGTCAATGCTCAAAAAGGGGGATGAGATTCAACCCCCTCATGTTGTGGCCGTGATGGACAAAACAGGTCCGAAAAAAACCTTGTAACATTTGAGCTTGATTTTTGTAGAATGTTAAATATATAACGTCACATGCCTGTGTCTGACCACATATAAAGCCACAACATCAACATTGATAACACAATATTTATTTTAAAAATATCCATTTCCTGAAAAGTTGCGGTTTTGAAGCACTTTTATGATTAAAATATATACAGCCATTGACTGCCATTATAAAGCTTGAAAGAGCCAGGACATTTTTTAGTAAACTCCGATTGTATTCTTCTGAAAGAAGAATGTCATATACACCAAGGATGACTTGAGGGTGAGTAGCCTAAATCATGGACTAATTTTCATTTTTTTTTTTCAAATAGGACTAACAAATTGCTTTTACAGTTTTTGGCAATAAAATCATGTGATGTGACGCATCCTATTGACCCTGTTCACATTTCCGGGTTTCTCATTAGTGGAAGGCATCATAGTTGGGTAAACTTCTATAGCAGTGAATGAGAGACTACATTAAATTAATTTTTTTGTGATCCCATTTGCTCTAATAGCAAAAGAAGAACAATGCCACAACCGTGTTTTCACAACTTTCAAAAAAATAAAATAAATAGAGATTGATAATGGCAGTCGGAAGAGAGAAGGATGTCAACTTTGTCAAAGCGTGGAACTAGAAACACCCTCACAGCAGTGTTAACTAGTATTTGTGTAATACAAATAAGTGTTATAGGCGTAATGATCTTTAATCATGATATGTGGCAACATGTAAGTTAAAAGTGCATCTTCTGCACTAAATGATATTCTGATATTCTATACCCTTACATGTACAGTATCTAACTTCACTCTCACACTACACAAGACTATAAGACTATTTTGTATTTTTAAATTACTTTTAGGCTATTTTAATTAAATTTTATTAAAATACTTTTTTGCAGCAGTATTTTGTATTTTATTTAAATACATTTGATGAGTAAGTATTTGTAATTAAATAATTTTAATGTATGTGTGCCCATCCCTGGCTCCTGGTAATAAATATGCCCTACTAATGAAAATATACTAGTTAGTTTTAAGGAATAAATGTGAACTGTTTGCCATTGAGGGAGACCACACGGATATGGATACATTATTGCACTCAAGGAAGCATAAGGTTTTCTTTTCACTGAACTAGTCAATATACGGAGTATAGAACTAGTATATATACGTAGATGTCTTGCTTTTGATGCACGTGGATGTTTTCTAGACAAACTCCATACTTTCACGCTTGGCCTGATTTTTTTTTTTGTTTTTTTATAAGCAGAAGCTTGCACCATTTCTGACTTGAAGAGGAACTGACATTAGTTAAAGCAGGTCAATCAGAGAGTTAGAAACTGTGTGTGTTTGTGTCTGTGAGAGAGAGAGAGAGAGAGAGAGAGAGAGAGAGAGAGAGAGAGAGAGAGAGAGAGAGAGAGAGCTAACGCTAGAGAGCAGCCGCACTGCTAGCACTGCAGCCTAATGTGCTTTTATCGGCTTTCAAAGACAAACGTCACTTATTATTACAACTGAGGGAAATATTATGCGTTCGATGCACATATTTAAGCATTCGTAGCGCTATATGCCCAGTTGGGGAAGTTTGCATTAGTGCAGGACGGTGTTATTTGTTTCAGATCAGAGCAGTTGAGCTGAGTTAGCTTAGCTATAGCGAGCAGCCAGCGAACCCAAGTTCTTCAAGCTCTTTTGCGATTCGCTGTCAAGATGCCTGCGATGTTAGAGAAGGGCACCACTGAGATATCGGGTAAAAGAAGGGGCAGAAACTCTGTAAATAATCCGGCCAAAAGTTTTACTTCAAATGGGAACAGTAACCATTCATGGGAGGAAGGAAGTTCGGGTTCCTCAAGTGATGACGAGCATGGTAAGTCACGGTGGTAGCCTCGGTCCCTCTTCACAAGTTCATACACTTCTGATGAATGTAATCAGTCTATTTAATCTGTTCTTTTGTCGCTCTCAAGGTGCGGGCGGGATGCGAGTTGGACTGCAGTATCAGGCAGTTGTTCCCGACTATGATCCTGGTTTGTGACTTTTGAGTGTTGGAAGCTTCTTTGACAGCACAGGGTGGATGGCGTAATAGCCTCAAACACTATTCGTTGTTGGAATAGTTCGTCCGTTCAGTGCCCTTCATCTTCAGCAACAATAATAATTTAATTATATGTCTCGTTGGCAACCTATATTAAAAGTAGCCAGTTATAGCTTACAAAGATGTTAAAACAAAACAAAAGATGAAAGAAAAACTTTTGCTGGTTGATATTTGAAACTTGAGGTAGAGGATAATGAGCACCTGATCGGTGTCAAACTGAAAAGCGTTCATTAAACTAATTTTACATTTATTTTTCAACCTTTCTCTTTTACTTATTTTTTTTAATTTATTTTTAATATGGCTTGGATGTATTAAACGCATTTAGGAAAAGGCCTTTGAGTGAAAAATTGCTAGTAAAATTGATTGTTTGAAATTAAACTAGATGGATGTGTTCTTGTTTAATACACTAATTTCTCTTATTTTTTTGTCACCAGAAGTAGCAAAGGCAAGCCAAGAGAGAGAAAATCTGGGAATGCTAGTGTGGTTTCCAAATCCGAGCATACCAGAGGCCAAATGTGAGTCATTTATGTGGATGCTAGCTGGCTGTATACATAACAAACCAGCACAAACTGTTTTCTTATGCAGATATTGGCATTTTTTTTTAAATTTTACCATGTTACCCAGTCTTATTCTGACACTTAAGTGTATATTTTTTTTGTTGGTGAATTACTTTACTCACACAGCTTAATACGTAGAGGCATTTGTAGTTAATTTCTACAGAAACTGAATGCTGACACAATTTTGATCCATTTAGCCCAATATGGGATAATAAGCCAACAGTTTAGTGTGGAGTGGGACTGTTTGTCCAATCAATGAAATACAATTGCTGTGTTCAGATTGCCAACGAATATTCAAAGTTGTGTAATGTGTAGTAGTATTACTGTATAATACCAGACATCCCACCCTGCACAAACTCATGCATTGCTACAGAGTGTTAAATCATATTATTCATTTTTGTTATCCACTCAGCACAAGTTCGTTCATTCAACAGTATTCATGCGCCATCAGTAGACAGTGTAGTGTGATGAAATAATAGTCCGAATCATGCAGCAGTTCACAAGAGAAGCATTTGAAACCCATGATAATTCCAAGTAAATGGTAATGTGTCTTTGCTGGTCATTTGTAATAGAAAACGCATCTCAATACCAGATGGAAACTGGGCTTCTCTCTCGCTCGCTCAATTTCCAGGATATTGTATATAATTTGTGGATGTTAAGAACCTGCTGTTAATATGCCTGAGACTTTCAGAGCTTCAGGGAAAGGTGGGATGTCTGTAATACTTTCTATCTTTAAAGATGGGATGTGAGATGCATATTAATTCTACAGTTTGCATAGAATATTAGTAGTATGACATTATGCTATTCCTAAATTCTGTTTGGTGCCTCTAGTGGCACAGAAATTCCACAATTCATCTATAAATATAGGCTACTCAGTAGCGCTGAGGAGGCTATACGTACGTATTAAATATTTTTAATTCAAAGAAATGTATAATATATGTAAAATAAATATTTATCTTTCAAGGGTTTTTAGTTTTATACATTAGATCTGATTTTGATATATGTTCTGATGATTGTTTTTGTTTTTTGTCACAGTGGATGAGTATATTGCAATAGCCAAAGAAAAACATGGGTACAATATGGAGCAGGTAAAATTATTATGTTGACTTTTTTTGTAGGCACAATCAATGATTGTGATTCAATACGCTTTAATTGTAACTCATAAGATAAGGTAGAATATTCTACACTGCGTTAGTTGAATCTTACCGCATCAAACATGAGGTTTGTTTTTAATTTTAACAGTCTTCAATGTCAGTGAATGATCAGCTTTCTGTTTTTAACAGGCATTGGGCATGCTGTTTTGGCACAAACACAACATTGAAAAATCTTTGGCAGATCTTCCCAACTTCACCCCTTTTCCAGATGAGTGGACAGTTGAAGACAAGGTGCTGTTTGAACAGGGTTTCAGCTTTCACGGAAAAACATTTCACCGCATCCAGCAGATGGTGAGTAAGATGGCTGAAACCACTCTCACCATTAAAATAAATTATTCACTTCAGCAGCTTCACAAATCAAAGTGATAATCACACACGAGGCGCCTCCGAAATCCAGATTATTAATCGATTCAAGTCCTAAATTCTAATGCTTTGGCTCAACTACAACTGAATCAGTGTCAGCTTTGATTATGAATAATGTTTCCATCGCTGATGTGTTTGATTTGCAAACTTTTTTTTTTTGTACTAGCTTCCAGACAAGTCAATTGCAAGCCTGGTTAGATTCTATTACTCATGGAAGAAAACGCGCAGCAAAACGAGTGTGATGGACCGCCATGCACGCAAACAGAAGAGAGATCGAGAGGAGAGGTCAGCATGAAGATATTAATAGGATGTTTGGTGTTTTTTTTGTGTGTGTGTGTTTGCTTTTTAAGAGTCTTGATCAAAGATTGTGCTGTCATGGAAAGCTAGCATGGTCTATTTTTAGAAAACAACATTGTCATTGTTGGAAAGGAAATGTCATATTTGAAACTTTCATTTATTTTTCATGTAGTGATGATGAAGGAGAAGAAAACGGTCGCAAATCTCCAGGGGATGCTGAAATTGAGCCAAATAAGGATGAAAAGAAAGAGGTAATATAAAGACATATTTCTGCACATTATTTTGTACAGATTTTCAGCAATAACGTCTTGGTTATGCATAACATAATTAGATAATGGGTGTAAAACTCTTAAAAAAAAACTTCAAATCACCTTTACTTTTTTTTTAGTAAAATTGTTTTCGATTATTTTAACTTTTAACAGTGCTGCTACACTTTACATAATGGATATCTATCTTTTATTTATTTATTTTTTTTAAAAAGGGAACTGCTGGACTTGAGAAACAAGAATCAAAACCTGCAGTTGTGCAAAAGGTGCCATTCTAAATATATATTTGAAATCTGTTGAACCTGCTACATCAATAATACATTCAATATAAATCAATAAACATGTTTTACATCAATCAAAGATTCAAATGGCTCTGTGTGTTTCCGCAGCCAGTGAATATCGCAGAGAAGTCTCTGCATGTTAAGAAGGAGGTACAGGGACTTGCTGGGAGGAACCTACATAGAGCGAAGAAGAAACCTCCTAAAGGAATGCATTTAATCTCCGATGATGTGACGGCGATGTCCAGCAGCGGCCCGGCCGCAGTTAGTGTTCTGAGACAGCTGGATATGGAGCTCATCACCATAAAACGACAGGTTAGAGTTTTATTACTTCTCAGCAACATAACTTTCATCTCAGTATTTTATATTTGAGACTTTAGGCTGAGCTAGAAGTTAATCAGACAGACAGTGAGGCAGTTTAGAAGGATGTTATAGTTTAAAATGGAGAACTTTGAAAATGATGCAAATAACCCTTATCTCTTGTTACAGATTCAGAGCATCAAACAGCACAATAGTGCCCTCAGAGATAAACTAGACACAGGTTTGGATGAGTACAGGCCATCTGAGGTAACAATATTCACATCTTTAGAATTCTTTTCACCATAGAGGGCCATATTTACCATTTTTATGCATGAATGTTGTTCACAAATAGATATAAATGTGCTTTGTTTTCCTCAGGCTAATCAAAAATTTAATACCCGCTGGACCACAGAAGAGCAGCTGCTTGCAGTACAAGGTAATTTTGGCCACATTTCTCAAGTGGTTGTTGGATAAAGAATGATTATTTAAATTACTTTGAAAAAGTTAAAAGTTTTGAGCAGTGAAATTCTGGTCAATCCTCGGTTCCCTATGTCAGCTATAAGGAAGTACGGACGGGATTTCCAAGCCATTTCTGATGTGATCAGCAACAAGTCTGTGGTTCAAGTGAAAAACTTCTTTGTGAATTACCGGCGTCGTTTCAACCTGGACGAGGTCCTGCAGGAGTGGGAAGCTGAGCACGGCGTCGAGGGACGTAAGGGTATAGATGAAGAGAAGATGGAGGTGTCATCTGAAGAGGGGACCACCCCGGGGCCTTCAGAAAACCAGACAGAGGTCAGTAGCTCTTCTACTCTCAACTTCCCATCAATGCCTCTTAGTTAATGGGCTTTCCCACCAAAATTCTGCCTTGTATTCCAGTCAGGCTGAAAATTCTTGCTCTAATTGAAGGATGTTTTTCCTACATATGGTTTTGATCATCAAATTATATTTTTTAGGAACAAACAGCATTGGAAACACAGAACCCCTCAGTTTCCTGAGTTCTTCAACAGCGGTCAGACGAGCTCAGATCAGTTGATGTCGCAGCTGTGCGTTAGAGGCATTAAGGCTTCAACAGCCTCAAATGAAGCCTCTACGTTATAGACATTCCTCCTCTCTACCCTATTGAACCCGGGACTCCATAACAGGTGCTACCGCATGGGAGCACAATCTTCACCAAGCTAGGAACTAGGACCATCGTTATAGTCACTGCCAACAGAAGTATAGTTTCTGTCTGGTGTTCCAGCAGTTCTCTGCAAATGGTAATTGGTCTGTTATGGGGGAATAAAACACCCATATACCCATCCCAATGTCACTGAACAATGAATTGTGGTCTTGAAAGATCTCTTGTCTGAAGGAGTTTAATGTCACTTGACCATCTCTTTTTCTTTAAAAATTCATAGGACTTTAATCTGGTCCAAATCCAACATCCCTTTCCAGTTACTTTTTTATTATTGTAGCATATTATCTAGTTAAATGATTTGTTATTTTGAACGTTTATTTTTTAATTTCATTTTTTATTTGATGTCTGGTTGGAATTTTAAGCTATTTATTTGCATAAAATTGAATTATTAGAACTGCACTGTATATATAAAATGAAATGCCAGTGTGGTTGAAATTTAAAAAAAAATGTAATACCATTTTTATTATTCTTTTAAAAAAGAATGAGAATTAAAATTGTTCAAGTGAATTGAATTGGTTTAGTATTAGGTCATTATATATTATATATATATAATGTGTGTTTAATCATGGACGCTTGTACATGGTGTATTCGAAATGCATTTTTATCTCTTGGCCAAGGCTGATGACTGTAAGAACAGACAGCAAAGTGTTGTAATGGAATGGGGAGGGTTTTTTTTGTGAGTTTTTTGTTTTTTGCTTAGATTTTTAAAATCTTATTACAAACTGTGTTTTGACAATTCTTCATGCAAAGGTCAAGCTTTTCACCCTCTAATGGGTGTTTAAACATATGAATTGCCATGTGTAGTTAAGAATTTTAAAATAAGGCAGCACATCTAAATTTCTACTATTCCATGCTTGATGTTTTTCAATATGCCCTTAATTTTGTTAAAATCAACGGTAGATGAGTTCATAATATTGTTTCTTTTTGTATGTTTAATTGGAAATGGAATAAGTTATTATTTAAAATACATGCGCACTCACTTATTTCGACCAACTTTTCCCTTCTAATAACTGTAATGGTACCATACATGTGTGAACTCCTTTAAAAGTTTTGTGTGCAGATAACATGTACATGGTTGGGGTGAAATTATGTGTGTCTGTGTGTGGGTGGAAGCTAATGTGGTCATAAACTGGCCCATATATATTAAACCTAATGGATTTATACAGTCAAATGCATTGAGTGTTATTCAACCCATATACATCACATTTTGTTATATTTAACCCATTATATGTTATTAATCATTAGTTATAATATGTGATAAGAAGCTTGGAAGAAAATTGCTGATCACAACAGGTAAGGCGTAGGGATTTGCAAAATTATTTCTATATAGGCTAGAATATTCTAATTATAACTGATATAATTAAAAGCATAAAACTTGCATTGAATCTATAAGGATTTAAATAGTTATGAAAACGTGAATACACTACAGTAAACGACATCAGGGCAACAAACATTTTTGGGTTACTGGTGGGAAAAATAGCCTCTCCATCTTGCGGGGTTTTTTTTGTAATTAGATTCTAGCCTAGGTTAGATTCTTTGTAATTAGATTCTGACTAATTAAATATTTCAGTAATTGTGAACAGTAATTTAACAAAAGCATTTTACAGTTCCATCACCTAGTAGAAACCACGTGGAAAAAGAGCCGCTGAAGTGAAAGCGATTGTAATGAGCTCTGGCGCCACCCAGTGGACAGACGCCACACCACAGCCTGTTCTTTTTCTATGGCGTCCTTTTACAACCATTTTTTTCATGACGGGGATTTCCTGAGGAAGTCAGACCAAGGGGGCTTTCCAGTTACTAGGCTTGATATCAACAGCACACTGCCACAGTGGCGGCTTCTCTACCTATTCGTGTACCTCAACCGAGCCGTTTTTGGAACATTCCGATGTCAAAATGACCCGATTTGATCCTATGGCCGTTGTTGCCTGTTTGAGAAGCGAGGACGGAGCTGTGGCCGCGTAAATTTGGACGTTGTTGTCTCGGTGTGTGTCTGTCATATGAGTGGACCATCTGTGGCTCCATTCGTGAAATTCTTCAGAGAAACACGGCTGGATCATCGGACGAGATCGTCGATCAACTGATTCATGTAAGTGGATGGCTATTTCACAGATCCATATGTAAAATGACATGTAGCTCATGTTAGTGAAAGGTAAAATTAGGCAAACCCAAAGTGGCTCACCTACAGTGATTAAAGTGTGTCCTGCTTTGGTCGGAGATGTTCACCTGCTCTCTTAAACGTCTCCAGGACAAATATGGGCTCTTTTGGGCTCCGATTCTTCAAGTTATGAAACATGTAAAGCTATCAATATGTTAACAGGTTAAATCCTGTACAGCTGTCTTCCAAATCCATGGTAGATGAAGATGATCTCACCTCTGCATGTATGTGTGTAGTGTAGCCTACTTTTACTCTGCTTCTATTATGATCATCAATGAGATGATTTTAAAGTTAAGGGTCTATAAATTCCACACGTTTATATAGGCTCTGTTGTATAGAAATATGGTATGGTCTATAAACTTAAGCCTATATAACATTCATACAGTGTGATCTTTTAAGTTTTTTTTTTCAGCTCTTTAAACTTCTATGGTCTTATTCCTTGGGGGCAATACCTAACTTGCAAAATTCTTGCATGATTTAGGCCTGTATGCTACTGAGATGGAAAAAACCATGATGGCACACTGTATTCCACTGTTGGATGCAGTTTGAGACTGGGTGTACTGCTGTCTTACATGTCAAATTTTAATCAGAAAATATGTTTTTTTTTCTTTTTTTTTTTTTAGCAGTATATGACTTTTAAACCCAATTCTTCTGACACAAATTTAGTTTACTAATATTGATTTTTTTTTTTCACAACAAAGAGTGTCAGGTAACCTATTTAGAACTGATCCTTAATAATTGCTTTATGTATGATTTTTTGCACAGTATTAACTAAAAACAAAAGCATACAAACATAAAACGCAGTATTTTGATTCTAATAAGCTGTATAAATAGTTTCCAATAATAATAATAACCATCGTTCAAATGTTTGGGGTCGGTAAAATCTTTTAATGCTTTTGAAAGAACTCTCTTACACTCACCAAGGCATCATTTACTTGATCAAAAATGTTGAAATATTATTACAGTTTAAAATAACTGTATTATATTTGAATATATTTTACAAGCTTATGGCAAAGCTGAATTTTCAGCAGTCATTACTCCAGTCTTTAGTGTCACATGATCCTTCAGAAATGCTGATTTGGTGTTCAAAAAGCATTTCTTGTCATCAATATTTTTTTCAGGATTCTTCGAATAGGAAATTCAAAAGAACAGTATTTATTTGAAATAGAAGTCTTTTCTAGCATTGTAAATGTCTCTACTGTCACCTTTGATCAATTCAATACATCCTTGATGAATAACATTATTCATTTCTTTTGAACATCGCTGTATAAATTTAGACCTTGGTTTTAAATTTGTGAGTTAAGTTATTTAATGCGAAAAACAAAGTGAGTTTTGCATTAGTGGATTTTCCCACAAGCTCTGGTTTCGAATTGGGGCTGTGTAACATAATAATATTATTACCTTGAAGAATAGGCTATCATAAATGTATCAATAAAAAGTGAAAAAGTGTAAATATCATTCAAATTGGTAATTTTTCGATCTCTATTTAAATCCGCTGATGAAAAAAAAAAAAAAAGCCAGTTTGAAAATCTAAAACAGTACAACATGTGCTGCTGTGTGCAGATCAAAACCGAGACCGTTTGAATCCAGCCTAGTTTCACTCTCAGAATAACACCGTAAAGTGTTGTGATACACTACAGGGAACATGCATTTGGGGTTTGATTTCAACAAAAGTTGGAGCAGGCTCTTTTCTGAAAGCAGAAGGTGGCTGAGAAGATGACATAAGCCTGACCTCTTCCTTTGCATTTTCACACAAAGCAACCCCATTAGTTTTAACCCATCACACCTTCATCATATGCTCACATGATCTGAAATGGTGTTTTATTCCTGTAAATGACCTATGGTAGTCACACATGCCTTCCTCTAGTAAAAGGTCAGGCTAGAAAGAGGTGATATTCCCCTTCTTAGTTCTCTTTCATTTTTGTTATGAGATCTCCTGCAGCGCAAATACAGAATCCGTATTACCTTGATGCTTCTCAGCTCTAAACTAACAGTCTGAAATGTATTGTGTTACGCTTTTCACCTGCAGCTCTCTCTGGTTTTATGTTCTTTATTACACGGATGCTTGCTGTACCTTAGCATTTAGTCTTGTCATTTTCGTTTTTGGTTTTAAGTGGTGTGTTTTATTACGCTAACTATAAATGCACTGATATTATGAAACATACATAATTGTGTTGTTTATCATGCTTTTTTCTAAATGATAGCGTTAAAGGAATAGTTCTCTTCCTCATTTACTCTTCATCATGTCATTCCAAATGAAATGAGTGACTCCATAAAGTGAAAGGCTGAACGCTTCATTCATTGAATTCTCCTAAACATCTTCCTTTTCACCAAAAAAAGGTTGTGCAGTAAATGATTTTTGGGTGAATTATGCTGAATAGGTCACAATCTGCGTTGTGCAACCACAACACATTTACTGTTTAATATTTAGGGTCAGTAAGATATTTTTTAAAATATGAATTCTTTAATTCTACAAGGACTCATTAAATTGATCGAAAGTAGCAGTAAAGGCATTTGTAATTTTACAAAAGATTTCCGTTTTAAATCAATTACTGTATGTTCTTTTGACATTTTTAGTCATCAAGGAATCCTAAAAAATGGATCAGGGTTTCCACAAAAAAAACTGTTTTTAGCTTTGATAATGATAATAAATGTTTCTTGAGCATCAAATCAGCATATTAGAATGATTTCTGAAGGATCATGTGACACTGAAGACTGGAGGAATGGCTGCTGAAATTTCATCTCTGCCGCCACTCGAATAAAATATAATAGAGAAATTTTACTTTATAATAATATTTCACAATGTTACTCTTTAGTGTACTTTTGATCAAATAAATGCAGCCTTGGTGAGCATAAGAAAGGCTACTTACAAATAAATAAACAAAAATCTCACCCTTACCTTTTGCGTGAAATATGAATTTTTGTTCATATATTAACAACTAATAATTTAGATAAAGTCACATAATCCTTTCATAAACAATAGTTTACTAGCAGCTGCCTTCTGACTTTTTGCCTTAATGGCTGTTTTTGTGTTTTGTGTGTGTGTACGGGTGTGAATGGGTGTGTACGTGTATTGTCAGCAGTGACAGAGAGGGATGAGGCAGCAAATGGAAAAGCCCCTTAAATATTCCTGGAAATCCCTAGAGAACTGGACGTTCTGGTCAGCTACCAGCACATGGATTTTTATTTGCACTCGGTTGAATATTTCTATATATAATAGTATAATAGTTTGTTTGCATAGTTTTTGCATGGTAGAGCATTTTTTTTCTCTCAGAGTTTGTGGATTATTTCAGTGACAGTTTTATTTCAAATTGTAGGTGGTTTTATTTTTGACCTCAGTCTAGTGCAATGTGAGATGAGAGATAAAGGTAGGGAAATACCTGTACCTTATAAAGCAAAACAGAAACAAAATCAGGGACAAGATCCTATAAAAATTCCAACACAACAAATTGGGAAAATTCACTTTTGTTTTCATGGATGACTCTTTTTTTTCTCTCTCTCTCTCTCTCTCTTATTTTTTTTTTAAAGTCACAGTGTCTGTCCATTTTACAAAAGGCATGTTGAGCCATGTAGTGTGTTTGTGAAACGCACATCACTAAGGCTGTATTGTGATGTATATGTCAGATGGGATTTAACATTTCTTCATGAGAGTGTGAATAATTTGATGGGTGTGTGTGTGAAAGAGAGAGAGTATGTGAGCATCTCACATGGCTGTCCAAACATGGCTGTCATCTTCCTCCCAAAAGCTATTTATCTAGGCAAACCTTTAATCATTTGAAGAAATGTGAGTGGTATTTGCCTGTCCAAAAAGTTTTATTCATAGACTGTAAAAAATATGGACAAAGTGTCTGTGACGTCACCCATAGACTTTCTGAAGAACATTTTTGAGGCTGTTTATAGGGGTATGGGCAGCACCATCTTGGAAAATCTTGGGAAATACAAAATACACATTTTCAGAAAAGATACAGCGGTGGTATGATGTGTTGTGTCCGAGACGTCAAATTCCACTTGGCGCA